TTTAAGTGCAAGTGATTTATGTTGTCTATGATGGGGGGATTGTTGGACTAAGTGTATGTGTATTTCTCTGACTGTGTGTGCTTATGTGTGTGTGCTTATGTGTGTGTGTGTGTGTGTAAGGCAGAAAATTAGCTGATGTAGACATAAATGCGAACGGGCAAAGTATGCGCCAAATTGTAAATGGCAAACGTGGCTTTGGCCACAAACCAAAATCAATCAAAAGTCGAATGTCGAATGTCAATTGCCGACCAAGGAATGTAGAATGTCGCATTAAGTATTGAAAGCACAGACATACACACACAGAGAAATACACACAGGACACGGGAAATTCAATTACCAAACGGTCAGTGGAGGTCCCTTTGATATTTAACCCTTTTTGTGAGGAAACGCTTTTAGTTGCGCCTGTACAAGATAGTTAAGTTCCCGTTTAGGCGGATTAAATTACAATTTACAAGTGGCCAATACAAGCTAAGCGGGCTTAAGTGCTGCCGATGCCGATGCCGATGCCGTTGAAGGAACCCTTCCCCTTGTGGTCGCGACCTGACACGGTCCAAGCCCTCACCCGGAATGGTGACTTCAAATCCACTTGCGTGCCACGTTGCATCGATGATAATTGAAAGGCACTTACAAATGGTCAAAGGGTCGCTGGTTGGGCTGGGCTGGGCTAGCTAATCGAGTTTGAAACAAGCGTAAATTGTCCTTTTGATATCTGAGTTGACTTCAATTGCATTTGCGGTGCAAAGTGCAACTGCTCTAGCTCAGCTCGAGTAATTAACGGTAATTGTGCAGGCACAAGCCTGGCCAACGCCCCAAAGTACGGCTTCTCTCTCTCTCTGTCTCTCTCCCTCCCCGTCGCTATAAGCCACAAACTGGAGCACAATGCAGTGCTAAGGATGTGGGGGGAGAGGGTAGGTAGGTGCACTGATCGGCTAATGTGCGCTAAGCGCTCGCCGCCTGCATTTGCCTAATGACACAAGCGTAAACGGCGCAGCGGACTTTGTATAATTTGTAAGCTTTTAAACCGATTTGCAGCTTAGTTGAGGGCAGCATAAAAATATTTCGCACAACGCAACCAGCAACAACGAAGTGTTTCAGTGGAAAAAATGTTTGCGGAGCCGGACTCGTCTCATAGCTAGCTATTTTGGGTGCCTTGTCGCTTTTTGCAGCATTTTTACGGCATAAATTTCCATTGAATTTCGCAACAAAAACTACATATTAAAAAAAAAGTATACAGAAACGCATTGATACTTTTGTGGCTCAGCCAAAAGGTTGACACAATCAGGTAGATATCTGTATATAGATACAAATATATATAAATGTTCACCCGCTACAACAACAACAACGGAGTCTGATATTCAGCTTTAAGACCGAGTTCTTTTAAAGTCGGCGGCTGCCGTTTGAAGCAACACTTGACTTGGGCCATAGACACAGAAGAACAACAAAAACAATCAAAAACAAAACACGAAAAAAAACAGCAACAAAATCTTTTGAGCAAGAACAAAAAAATTCATTAGGATTTCATTATTATTATTTGCCAAGCATTTTTTATAGGAGTGTTTTTTTCGTCTTTCTTTTTTGGTTACTGATTGGATTTTATTGATATAATTCCAGGAAAACGAAAGCAAATTCATGCGGGTCTTGATTAATAATAACGCATGTGCAGCATTCATGAATGAATGTAAAACAATTAACATATAAGGATAAGTAATACGTATTCACTAATGTTTGTACGTAATTTAATGGCAAACGAATTATAATTTTTGCACCAAAGCACTAAAAGTTTATGGCGATAATATTTTTTTCAACACATTTTAAGAGATTTGATTTTCGAGTTGTGTTTCAGTTTGCGCTGGACCAGCTCTAATCCGTATTACCTTACACTGTGATCAATGGAATGGAACCGTCATCATCGTCACTTTGGCATGTCTTTTCACGCCAATGGCTCAAGGTATCGCATTCAACGCTTTTCGACTTTGTACAATTCCCTCGGCGATCGAAAATCGCCAGTGCGACAAAAATTGCTGAAAGTTTTGTATTTGAACGCGACTTGAAACCCAACAGCAAAAGCAACAAATAAACCAAGATGAGCCAAAAAAAAACTTCAAAACTTGTCGAGCACATTGGCAACTGCATTGAAACATTAGCAGTGATGACATTTCTGCGGTCGGCTCCCTCAGCTCCCTACTACCTCTACTACTACTCCGAACTCTGGTCTAACTGGGCAGCGGGTTACCGCAGACGGCAGTCTGCAATGCGTCTGCTGCTGCTTTTGGCTTTTTGGCCTTAGCTTTTTGGTTTGTTGAGTTTTGGGGTTTTTTTTTTCTTCTTGTTTTCTTTATTGTGCTGGTTGCAAGCGAAATTCCTGAAGACGCGACACTTCATACATAATAAAAGTGGATCGCCGATGGACGCGTCGATCGACGCTCGTCAAAAGTCGCCTTGTCGCACACACGATCCGATGCACATTGAGCCAGGGGTTTAAGCATTTGGGCCAAAACGCTCGAATTGGAAATGGGTATTGGGGTTTTGGGTTTTGGGTTTTGTGTTTTTGGGCAAGTTCTTGGTTGAGCCACCACACGACGACACGACGGCATTTGTGGGGCTTTGTTGGTTTATTAATTGTAGCCTTAGCCTTGGACTTGGACTTGGAGTTGGACTCAAATGTGGACATCGGCTGGGTTTTTGTTCACAAATGAATGCACAATTTTCGGACAGCCGCCTGCGGTTGCTGCCACAGACAGTATGACGCTTGGCCGCCGCAAAAGCCAAGGAAAACAAAAGCAAAGAAGACGAAGACGAAGATTCAAGCCAGCTAACGCGTATTCGTATTACTCAGGTGAGAGAGCGGCTAATGAGCCTGGCGAGCATCCTTCTTTTTTTCTTTCTTTCTTTTCTTTTTTTTTTTTTTGTTGGTTGGACTCGAATCTGGTACCCAAACAGGCAGGCCAGACAAACAGACACCCAAAACCAGTTCGGCCTTTTGACTTAATGCCTAAAAAATTATAGGTCTCTCGGCCCAACTGGAAAATTGTGTGGGGCGTTGCTGAAGAAATTAATACAAATGCAGGCAGCATGAAGCATTTGATTTTTAGTTCACCACCTCTCTCTCTCTCTCGGAAAATGCCCAACAAATAACTAAACAAAACACACAACGAAAAAGACCAAACGAAATGAAACGATGTCTAACAGCCAACACGCCCCAGGCAATCACGCAAAATGCCAAATTACATGTAGCTACCATTAACGGAACGAAATCATCTAACACGCAAGAGCCTCCGACTTTTGGCCAACACACAGCACTCACAAAAGAAAAAAGAAAAAATAAGTCATTTAAGGTGTTTTTCACATGCCGAACTCAAGTCCCAAAAAGCCGAACTCGAACACGGAGCCCAGCCCCGGTCGCAGTTTCAGGCTCGCCCAGCTGCCACAGCAATTTAATCGGGACCGGACCCGGCCGTGGTTCGGCTGGGTTCAAATTTCAGGCGCAGCACACGCACAATGCACCGACCCGAGCCGAGACGGCCGCCACAGTTCAGGCCAGGCGACAATGCAGCCAGAGAGACGGGGCAGACACAGATGGCCCAAAAGGGCAGTTCCCAGATCTTTAACTGTCCTCCTTCTGTTAGCTGCACTGCACAGTTGACACTTGAGCTGTGGCGGGGGCGTCGACATCGTAAGCGGCTTACACGTGCCACAGCCAGAGAGTGTGCTCCATATGGATGGAAATGCTTATGAATAAAATGCAGCCACGTAATACGAGCAGGCTTCTCGATTTACATGCAGTGATAGCAACAAAAACGAAAAAAAATTACGAATTTCCCTGCGTTGAAAGTCACAAATTTCACGATCTCGTTTTTACACACTTTGAGCACTTAAGAATTACACTTAAATCAATGTTGCAAGTATGCACATGCAGCCCACTGCATTAAGGCGCCTACTCTCTTGCGTAGTTTGTAAAGCAATAGTTGGACCTAAAGATAGTCCAAGGATTACTTTGGCATTAACCAAAAGAGAGATGCTGGCTCCATGAGCAAACTTGAGTGGACTGTGCTGAAAAATAAATAAAGAGATTGATCGGCCAAGGCTGGTAAAGGAATTGTATGTGAATGTGGTTGGTATTGAGGTATCCATCGAATAGCGTCTAGGTGGCTCCAGGAAGGTCTTCGTTGAGTTGCTCATCCGTTTTGGCCATCTAGCTAAATGCGTTGCCTTAATAACTAGTTCGTAAGCCTCGTTGCGAAAGTGAAAAAAACATTTCTGTGTACTTTTCAAATATACTTTTTTTTCATATATTTATTGGCTAACTCTTTAAACGTTACTCTGTAGTTGTTGTTTCTTAATTCTTTTTCATTTTAGTTTGTTTTTGTTTTTTCGTTTTTTTTTTGTTTTTAATTATATTATTAGTATACATATAAATAATTAAAAATATTACATTAAAATGTATTCGTATATCGTATAGAAGTTGCTGCTTGTTGGTTTTTATGTTGTATTTGTTGTATTTATGTTAATGTTTTTGTTTTTTGTTTTTAGTTTTTGATTGCGTTTTCTTCTCTGCTAGATCATTACCATAAGTTTTCATATCATGTTTCTCATTTTACAATTTTGCTAAAAACTAAATAAAATTTGTTTCGTAAAACAATAATAAAAATGTATGCACGAAGACAAAAAAACTAAATTTCATATATTTATATATATTTTAAAAATAAAAGCAAAAAGCGTCTCAATTATTTTTAAAATATATTTTTACGTATATATTTTTTATATGCATTATTTTCATTATTATATTTACTTTTGTTATATTTTTATAAAATATCACCTAAAGCAATTACGTATTTCAGTTTCAGTTTTGTATTTTGTGTTTTTTTTTTGTTTTTTGTTTTTCGTTTTTTCGGTTTTCATTTTGTTTATACAGGACAACAATAAAAATTTTGCTCTTTGCTCGCAAAATATATTCAATACTCAAAACTAATTAAAAGAAAATTATTAAACAAAGTGTTCAACAAAATGCAAAAGCTAGCAAAAATCAAAGGGAACAATTTGTTGCAGCCAATTTTGCAACAGATTTTTTATATAGTGTATAGCGATATTTTTTTTTTTTTGTGTGTTTGTTTTTTTTTGTTTTGTTTTTGTTTTCAACTAAAAAGCAACTAAGATCAGTTGGCCACAGATTTATGCTAAAATTACATTATAATTACAGCAATTACTTTTGTTGTTTTCATATTTAGCATTTTTATGAGACAAAGTACAACAACTATTCATTTATATTTATTTAATATTATTATTATTATTATTATGTTTTTTTTTTTCGTTTTTTGATGTTGCAAACATAACTACTTGCAAGATTTTTGTGTGTTTTGTTTATTCTTAAGTTGAAAAAATAGTACAAAAGCTTTGACATATTCTCATTTTTAGTTAGTGTGTTGGTTTCTTTCACTAATAAACCACTTGGTTTTATACTCTACTCGTAAAGTGTAAGTATACAAATGACTGCCCATATAGCTGGACTGCAACTGAGTGCAGTTCCATTAAGTACAATGTTTGGTAGTTTTTTTTATTGTTTTTTTTTTCCTTTTCGTTTTTTTTTTTATTTTTAGTATGCATAAACTCAAAAAGGTAGGAGAATATAGCGATAGAGAAAGTGCCTAGAGCTGGGAAGAGTTCTTCGGAAATTAGTTATGGGTAAACATAGAGTTTAGTTTTAGTTGTAGTTTAGCTTAGCATACCTACTAATACGTAGCCTTCCGTTACGGATACTAAGAACTATATAACGTACATTTAGTTAGACCGCTATAGTATACATAGAGTTTGGGGAAGGGGTGGTGGTGGTGGTGGTGGTGGATGGGGGAAGAGTGGTAGGTCCAAACGCATCTAGTTGCAGTTGCAACTGAAATTGATTAGGTTGGTTTGGCATGGGCCTAGTCAAGTTGCAAGTATGCTTGGGGGATAGTAGTACAATGGGATTATCTTATTCCACCTCTTAACTGATGTTTCTTTTTTTTTTTGTTTTTTGAGCACCAAAAGCTGCGCCGTTGTTACATACATACATACATACGTAGTAGTTACGTATTTATATGTGTTATTAATTAATAATTACATTTATTTATAATAATAGTATCGCGTTTAGCATTTTACGTATTTACTTGTGTATAGTTAAAAATTTTGCTTAGTAAATGCTTAAAGTTGTTGTTGTTTTAGTTTAAGTTTTCTTTTCTTTTTTTTTCTTGCTGATCTTGTATCATAACCTAAACAGTATCCCGTTCATTACGTATATTAAGTTGTCGCAAGGTTCCTAGCTCATTTAAAATGTCATCGTATATGCGCGTTTCAATTCTCTCAATTAATTAAATTAACTTTAATCTGGTTTTTTGTTTTTTTTTTCTTTCTTCGTGTTAAACAATAATAGAAAAACATATGTTTCACTTTATGTTTTATTCGTATACTTTGCATTTGAACTCAGGTTGATTTCTTTTATGTTTATGTATCTCTTCATTTACGTATATGAGTTGCACTTGGTTCTAGATTCTCTCCTTAAGAACGTATCGAAATAAGAGTTATTAAAAAAAAATTAAACAAATTATGAAAGACTAACAAAAAAGATTATAAATTTGTTTTTTTTTTTTTGTTTTTTGTTTTTGGCAAGTTCTTTCAGTGTTGTAAAACACATCGAAAAAGGACGTATTGAAAAATCGTATACACGTTGCTGAAGTGAATTATGAAAAGCCAAACAAAATAAGAATAAACTTTTCTTTCTAGCGTTTTAGTTTTAGTTTTTTTTTTTTTGTTGTTTTTGTTTTTTTGTAATTTTCTTTCAACTTGTAAGCAGCCTAGGCTTAAGTCGTACAACTACATACTAAAGTTATATTTTATAATAAAGTTTATATATAAAGAACTTTGCTTTGCGTGTAGTTAAATTTAAATTTCTTTCTGATCTGGCCGGGAGGGGATAGTTGAGACATTATCTGTAGGTTATCTGCTGCAACACCCACCCAAAAAACACACGCACACAAATACACACACGGAGCGAATTAAAAGTCCGCTTCGTGCTTGATGCGATAACTGGCATAGGTTTCTTCCAGCGGCGCAAAGTCTTGGGTGTGAGACTGTGTTTTGTATCAAGTTCCAAAAAGAATATTGGCACCAGAGTTGTAATATATAGAAAAATGGTCTTTAGATATAATAGATCAAGAGATAATATTGTGTGCTTTATATTGTTTCGGTATCGGTATCGGTATCAGTTTCTGTATCTGTATCAATGTGTTGTGTTTGGTTTGTGGAGGGGCTGGTAGGTAATATTTACAAGTTTACAAACTCAAAACGATAACGCGTGTTATCGACGCGAAAGTTATCGACGCAGCGGTAGCTGCAGACTGACTGTACCCGGGGCAAGATGCTGCCCCTGCAGAGTCAGCAACATGCATATTAGGCTAGACTTTCATATCAATATAAATATATATAGATGTAAATATATATATATATATATATATATATATATATATACGTATATGTATATAATTTCTATATAGAGTTATGTGCATATGTAAATTGTTAAAATTGGTTATTTTTGGGTTAGTAAACTTTCTTGTAATATAATATTTCTTTTTTTTTTGTATTTAAATTTTTTTTTTTTTTTTTTTGTGTTGTTAAGTAGTGAAAATAATAAAAAGTTGTTAAATGTTTTTAATAATAATTAATAATATATTGGCGAGCTATATGGGCCTCTTGCAAAAACGAAGTACTGGAACTTTTACTTATTTTTTTCTTTTCTTTTTTTTTCTCTTTTGCATATTTTTTCTTTAGTTGTTGGTACTTTTTACAAATTAAGCAAATTTTTGCGCTAATTATTGTTGCTCAGTTGCTGTATCTTCTTCTTTATCTCTTCAGTAATTTACAAGTTGAGTGTTCTCCATTTTTGCGCTCTGCGATGAGAACACAAAAACAAATAACACGACTTTTGTTTTGCATTACTATTTGTTTGCTTTTTTTTTTGTGTGTGTATTTAAACTTAAATTTATGGCTCTCGTTTTACTGTACAAAAACAGACAAATTCTAACGGCCAAAGCATCAGCAGCATCATCAGCAGCAGCAGCAGCAACACTGGACAGCAGCAGCAGCAGCAGCAGCAGCAGTAGTAGTTGCAGTTGCAGTTGCAGTAGCCAGCAGCAGCAGCAGACACCAGCAACAACATCAGCTGTCGATGTGTGAATAAGTTTTTGGACCCGGTATTTTTTGGGAGGGCCGTAATCGCCTCGCGGCCGCTTGGAAGCTCGTTTGTCTGCAGTTGTTTTTGTTGTTGTTGTTGTTGGTGTTGTTGGTGTTCTTTCAAGTCATGGCGGTACTGTGTCTACGTTTTATGTGGTTGTTGTTGTTATCGTCATCGTCATCGTCGTCGTTTGGCCGCTGGCGATGTGTCCTTGCGTCCATTGCTGTTGTTGTTTGTGCTTGCTCTGTGGCTAGCTGCGTGTTGCCATTGTTGCTGTTGTTGAGTTTGCTGCGGCGACTGCTGATGCTGCTGCTGCTGTTGTTGTTGTTGTTGTTGTTGCGCTAGCTAGAAATTTGCTTGATCTTTTTCATTTATTATTTGCTCTCTTGTACTGTATATTGTATTCATATCTTTTTTGTTTAATTCTCTTGACTAATTTACAATGTGTGTGTGTTCTTGTTCTTGTTCATAATTACGTACAACTTCTTCTGCGTTTTTGATTGGATTTTATTCATCAATATTATTATTGTTATTATTGTGATCATCATAATAATCGTGATGATTATTGTTTTGCATCATTGTTGTAGTTTTGCAAAATTAATTAATTTTACTTAATTTCTTATGCAGTTTCGCAACATTTCTTATTATTCTTTTTTACTTTTTTTTTTTTTTTTTTGGTTATTATTATTGATTCATTTAATCCCAGGGCATTGTGAGCACCCGCTTCGTTTTTGCAAGAAGGTCGTTATCGTACTACGAACATGGGTGCACCACCGCATTGTAGCTCGCCAATATAGGACCATGTGCTCCCGCGAAGGGGGTACTCACAACGTCTGGTGTACTAGCTCCATCGGTGTGCGATGTTGAATCGGCATTACTTCTTCCTTCACCATTTGCTGAACCTAATTCTGGTGGTTTGGTGGTGTCCCGTTCGTCAATCACTAAATCTATTGGCATTTTACCCTTTAAACATGAGATATATCGATGACAGAAATTATCGCATAATTCATGCACCTGCAAAGAGAAACCCGCAAAAATGCCATAATTATGACGGCGAGATCAAAGAAAGAGAAAGAGAGAAAGAAATTGTTGTGTGAGAAGAGCAATGCCAAAAAAAAATATATATATATATATTATACTTAATTATATAAAATTACATATATATACATATAAACTATACTACTTTGTCGAGGATCAAGAACTGAAAAACAATCATTTGGAAATTTCCGTGTAAATAGTACAACTATTTTATCGATAACATTAAGTTTCACTATTGATAGTCTTTCAGCTCTATAACTTAAATCTTAAGCATGTAATCTAATCAGGCATTGCAATACGTTTGTAGCTAAATCATATTCCGCAATCGGGACTTCATTAGGCATTCGGTTAGTTTATATGACATTAAACTTGATAGACAGAGACAGTTGCAAACACTTAGCGCCATTGCATTCTTTATGGCAACAACAGCAACAGCAACAACAACAGCAACAGCAACAACTATAACATGGACAGCAAAAACCTGCTTTGCTCCCGCTGCAAATGGCATGCAAATTGCTTTTTATGCGTTAACCCAAGCCCCGGCTCTGGACTCCAACGCGGGCCACGCAAATGGTTGATGATGGCACTCAAAAATGGCGTAGACAACGTCAGCAACAACAACAATAAGAACAACAACAACAACGGCAACAACGGCAACAGAGTAACCGCTAAGCTTAGAAGGTGTACGCGCTTGGAGGCGATAAAAATGCGAACCCGGCCACATAAATATGCATAGAGAGCTGGCTGGCTGGTTGGCTGACTGGCCAAAAGGAAGTGCTGGCCAGCCAAGTTTAGCCGCAGGGCACACTTTTAAGCAAGCAACAGCAACAGCAACAACAGCAGCAATGGACAACAGACAGCACCAGCAGCAGCACGTGCAACATGCAGAGGAACGCTGGCGTCAGCAGCAGCAAACTGGCCAACAAAATGCGTTTTTAAAGCCGTGTTGTTGCTGGCTGTATCCAAAAACTCTGCCTGGTCTCTGTGTGTGTGTGTGTGATAAAACAAATGCGATAAGGCCAAAGTGAGTGTGAGTCAGGCGGAGCGCATATGCAAATATGCAAAAAGGCTGCGCACCAAAAAGAGAGGAATGCAGCCGCCGACACGGCTAAAAAGAAATTAATTGCGCTGGGCTCGAGCAGACAGAGCAGCAGCAGCAACAGCAGCAGCAACAACAAACAGGGTGCTCCATTTAAACGGGCTGGCATTTAATTTACGAAAAAGTGCGCGTTGCTTATGCAAATTGCTTGTTGTTGTGTTCTTGCAACAACTGGTGCTGCTGCTGCTGCTGCTGCCGTTGCTGTTGCTACTTCTGCTGCTGTGGCTCTCGTTTCTTCTTTTTTTTTTTGGCATACGAAAGCTGCAACAGTTGCTGGCGGGCTGACTGGCTGGCTGTCTGGCTATTAACTTGTTGCCCATTGCCCAAACTTGCCAAACTTGTTTGCAGGCTGCTGTTGTTGTTGGATGCTGCTGCTACTGCTGCTGCTGCTGCTGCTGCCTGTGTTCAATGTTATTGTCACCAAAAATATGACGTTGATAAAAACTGGCAGCAGAGCAGCAACTGGTTTATGACAGGACTCAAATTTGTCTTTGCTGCCTGCTGATAACAAACAGCATTTTGATGTTGCTGTTGTTATTGTTCTTGTTGTTGTTGCTGTTACTGTGTATGTATAGCTGTCAAAGTTGCAATAACAATGCACATAAAGCGCACAATTAGCACGCCAGCAACATGTTGCCAGAGTGCAGTTGCAGTCGCCTGCACGCAACAACAACAAGGCATAAATACTTACTAAATTGATATGTTTATGCGGCTTTATGCTCAGTTGTTCAGTTTCTCAGTTGCCCGCTTGCCTGCCTGGCGCGGCCCTGGCCTGGGACACAACGGCCCTTTGTGGCATGTTGTTGCTGCTGCAGCGATGCTTGGACGCTGATAATTTTTGATTAATTTGTCAGCGTTGTGTGTGACATTTAAACAGCTCATTGCGATATTTATGACTGCTGGCTGGTTGCTGTGACTGGCTGCTGCTGCTGCTGCTGTTGCTGTTGCTGTTGCTGTTCGCTGCTGCACATTGGGTGGGCACAGCAGCAACTCACAACAATTGGGACCCACAGCAGCAGCAGTAGCAACATATGCCGCACAGGGGGCGTTGCTTGTTTGTAAGCGTTGTAAATGTTACAGTCATTTGTACATCCTGTTAAGCAAAACTTTTCACAGTCCCATCCTCGCCACACATTTTACAGCTTCCTCTAGCAAAACGATAGCATCGCAATGCGTCCGCTCAGCACAGTTTTCCCCACTCTGCCTTTATGTATAGCAACTATAGCACTATTTGCGCCTGCATTCGCTTGTGTAATCTAATGCAAATCGCTCCAATCTGCGCAGTGGTAATTTTCGATTTCCGTTCATAGATAGCGCTTAAATGTTCTATACAGACATGACGACTATAGAGCAACTCTCGACTGAGATTCACACGAAACCGACCAACTGACACAGCCTCCAGTCCCAGTCCCAGTCACAGTCACAGTCACAGTCGCAGTCTCAATCCCAGTCAAGCAACAAGTTATTTTAATTTAATTTTTTTTCCCTTTTTTTTGCATTTTGTTAAACAAGCGCGCAGCAAAAAATGTACAACACTGCTGACATTTAAATGAAATGTAATTAAAAACAACAAAAAAAAGCAAAAGCAGCAACAACAACAATTGCAAAGGCAGCCGACAAACACTTGAAACTGAATCCAAGCAGCTGACGAAAATAAATATTTTAATTCATGTAGAAAAAATATATATATGCCAATGGAAATATTATTTGGCTATTGAAATGTAAATGAGACGAGCTGTGAGCTAACGTTTACGAATGCGCCGCAAAGCGAAATTGAAAAATTATACGATACGATATATAGATTTATACTAAATAGCCTTAGGCTATTGCTGCCTTTTTTCATATGCTAAAATAGTTTGAGCCTCGTTTAGCTAATGGAACCCACGCCAATATTTTACTACCCATCGTGTCTCGAGACCAGCTTGAGTTGCAGTGTATTTTGGCTAAGTTCGAAATAAAAAAAAAAGAAAAGAACTGAAATAAAATACAGCTGTTGGTTGTCTGTTTGGTGTTGTAGTACCAAACTGGCCAAGCCATCAAAACAAGGCCCCCAATTCGGTGTTCAAACGTAGCAGTAGTGGTATTGGTTGTATAGTGCCCCCATGCCGGTACCGATACCGGTACCGGTACAGCCGCCAAGCTGTGACTGCTTACCCCCTGCCGGGGTGTGTGCAACTGACCCAACGTGTGTTGTCCGTCTGTCCGTCCGTCTGTCTGTCTGTCTGCCTGTCTGTCTAAATGTCTGTCTGTCCGTCTGTGGCACTGACTGTCCCACTGTCCGTTTGTCAATTGCAATGCGCCGTCGTCGTTGAGTGTTGTTTTTTTTTTGTGTTTTGTTTTTTTTTGCATGTGACTCTGTGACGAGAATTGTCCGTGCTGGCTGGGAACACTGAGAACTGTGAGCTGTGAGCTGAGTGAGGACTGGGTACTTGGGGCTGGCAAACCAGTTTTGACAGACACAAGTCTTGAAACGTCTTTTTAACTGATTCTGTGTGTTGTTTTTAGCAGCAGCAACAAATATGCACAGATACAGATATACAATATATATAATATATATATATATATATATATATATATATATGTATATTTACCAATATAAATGCTTTCTGAGCGTCCAGCCCGCACATTTTATTTAAGTATTATTTTGGATTTTTTTTGTTTTTGTTTTTGTATTTTTATTTATTTTATACACCAAAAACGCCCGCTGCATTTTGTTGGCTGCATATAAATGAATTGTATATTTGTTGCTGTTGTTGCTGCTGCTGCTGCTGCTGCTGATGTTGCTGTTTGCTTTTTTTGTTTTTGTACAAGTTGCTACAGTTCTTTGTGCCGATTGTTGGCTGTTGGATTGTTGTTGCCGATTGTTGGCTCGTCGTGGTTCGTGTGTGTCGCAAGCTGTGTGAGTGACAAATGACAAAACAAAAACCTGTCGTGGGCTGTGTGCGCTGTGCTGTGTGTGATGATGATAAAGATCTCGTTCGCTTCCACTGCTACACTATTCTCGTCGTTGTTATACAGGGTGCCGCTTGAAACAAATTGCAGCTGGCTGGAATGGATGGATGACTAAATGACTGACTGACTGACTGACTGACTGACTGACTGACTGACACACCGATCTCACTGACTGACTGACTGACTGACTAACTGACTGACTCAAGTTGGCTTACTGCACTACATTCAATAGAAAGCGACGCTTTTGCCCCATTGGTAATTAAGATTGGCTAAGGCTAATTGCACATTGATTGACTTTTGTTGTACGTATTTGTCATTTGCTGGCCGTGTGTCATTAGTCCAATACCAGAGACAAGTCCCAGTTCCAATCGCACACACAACTGTAAATGACTTTTCGACTTTTTTGGGGCCTAAACCACACATTTCTCAAGGCCCGAAAGGGCTCAAGCTACGTATTCTTTGAACGTTTCGTTCTTATTGTTGTTGCTTGTTGTTTTTTATAATGTTTTGCATAATTTCTTACTTAAGACTTAATTGAAAAAAATAAGAAGGAGAAAAAAGAACACAAAAACCACAACCAGAAAAAAAATAACAAAAAAACAACAACAAAAAAACAACAAACTCTGATGACGGGTTTAGCTCAAAGCCGGGCTTTAGCTGCTTCGGTTTTTGGGCTTCAGTTTGAGTCTCAGTCAGAGTCTCGGACGCTCCACGCTTCGCTGCGCATTTGCCTAATTAATTTTCTTGGCACAGCAGCGCAGCAGTGGACAAGGGACGGATTGGAGTGAGGAGGCGGAGGGTAGGGGAGGGTAGGGGGGGGCAGGGCGCAGGCATTAATTACGACCACGTTGAGGAACAACTTCCATTAAGACAGACGCCGACACACACGCACCCAAGCCAGCTAGCAAAGCTAGCTATCTAGTCAAACTCTTGCATATTATTTGAAATTAAAACAAATTAGGCAACCTGTAATTTTTCCATTTAGACTATAAAGTGTGTCCAATAATAAAGTAGGTGTTTGCTTGTTGCTGCATTCCCAAAATTATTTATATAACTGCGTCGAGGGTTAGTCAGAGGGAGGGTATAGGGGCAGGGGGCAGAAGGCAGTAGGCCTCCACACCTCATGAATTAAGAACAAAAGCAGCGCCGCAAATGAATGCGTTGCATTGTGCGGCAACTCGCAATGCAAATATATCATAGGCTCTTTTTGTTTTGTTTTGTTTTTTTATTTTATTTTTGATTGTTGTATCTTGGACAAACACCTGCTCAGGCAAACACAACAAGGCACCCCACCGCACTGCACCTCAAACGACAGCGACAAATGTTTGTGCTCCGTTCGGTCTCTCATATCTCGAGGTTTGTAAATGCTATGCCACACATCCTGTCGGTCGGCATTTTCTGTGCTCATTATCTATATCTAAAGCTATGCAAGCGGTTTTCACTTGTTTCAATTTTGATTGGCAATTAATGCAAGTTTTGGCCACGGCCAGCTGCACCACAGTTGTCACAGCTCTTGTTCGATGTTGTGCTTTAATTTAGACATTTGCAAAAGAGATATGACCACAAGCTGTGTGTCTCCAGTCGGAGCCTGCATACAAGCTCAATAAAATGTCAACACAAATGTTGGCAACTTTGTTTTATTTCTATTTCTATTTTTATTTATTTATTTTTTTTCCTATACCCTGCGCAGCCTATTTCTAACGGGCATACACCATATAAACTTGATCAGACGCAATCAGCGCACAATTAATAAATCAACAAGCCAATTTGCTGTGGCTCAAATCTAAATAAGTGATATACAAGTTAGAGAGTATCTGCTAGTCTTGACTGAAGCGCACTTGAGCTTGATTTTTTTTATTTTCTTCATTTTTATTTTTTTTTTTGTAAGCTATTGATTTATGGGTTTTATGGGTGGTCGTTGGGGTTGGTGATAAATGTTCGTTGCTTGGCTAACAGTTAATTGCATGACTGTTGGGTTTTTTTTTTGCAGCACGTTGTTCGATGATGGCCAAGAAATGAGCAATACAATTTGCACAGATTGCACTCCATGCGGAAGATTAAAGATTAGGTTTTTAATCATGTGAGCATATCAAGCTGATAAACTGCACTTTCTTTACATCCAACTGATGACAATTAACAATAATTTTCTTTTAATGTCTAATTGGCCACTTAATAACCTCGAACGTATTGCAATGCCTTTAAGATTAACTCTAACGTTTAATACTTATGTACTTAATCAATGTTTACTTACTTTTTCTAACTCTAAAAGGTGAAACCGAAGCACTTGTATTGCTTGCACCATCTGCAAAGAGAGCGACATGGAAAGAGAGGGGAATATGAGTTATGCATATCACAAATAATAATAAAATTCATAGCCGTAAAGAGTGGTGCCAAACAAATCGTTTGACGCCCCGGAACCAACCAACCAAATGCAGACACCATAATCCACACACACACACACACAGACAGGCACACATACACAGGGCATACACAAATGAATCGCAAGAGCGCCAACTGTTAGGGTGACCAGATGCTAATTAAAACGTCAGTTTGACATTTGACATTTTTACGATGCTGCTAACTGGTGTGGCCGCTGCTGTTGCTACTGCTGGTTCTGTTGCTTCTGTTGCTGCTGCTGCTGCTTCTGCTGCTGCTGTTATAGCTACTACTACTGTTCTTGCAACAGCAGCAGCTGCAGCCGGCAAAAACTTTAAAGAATTTTATTTAATGCCAAGCAGCGGCCAACTTTACCGCATAGTAAAATAATAACATATAGAAAACATGCTATAAACATTTTTATAGCACATGCATATCTGTGTTTGTGCGCCCGAACCACCAAAAGCATTTTTTTTTTTCTTTTTTTTTTTTTGTTTAAGTAAGTGTTACTAAATGCACTTTTAAATGTTCAAACATGAACTCTCCAGAGCGTTGGGCACTCAGTCCAGCAGCAGCAGCAGCAGCAGCAGCAGCGGCACCACAGAGTGGTGGCATGCCAAAATGATTTATGGCCAAAGTACGCAGGCGCACACGGCCATGGCCGGATCAGAGGAGGCCAACAGCAACAGAACCCAGGCTGTCCAGCGTGTTGCTGTCTGGCATTCCATGAGTATGTACTACAACTAATAAACTAATCTGCAAGTGCATAAAATTAGGGCCACCGCCAGAGATTTCTCTGCTGCTGTTTTGCTGGCGACTAATACGCCATAAAACCAGCGACATTAAACGCCAGCAAACAGCAACAGCAGCAGCAACAGCAGCAGCAACAGCAACAGCATCTCAGTTGCTGTTGGCCCTGCTCGACTGAGTGAGTGAGTGAGTGACACATTTACGACTAAGCAGAGGCCGCTTTGGAGTTTATACAAATGCAGTCGCAATTAAAATTAGTTTTGCCCCTTAATTTCTTTATATGCAACAGCAACAGCAACAGCAACAGCCTCAGAAACAGCAGCAGCAATCGTTGACGCGATTTGTGCAGCCCAATTGCATGGCTCGTTTTGCACTTTTTGCACGCAGCATTTCCGTCTTGATTTACATGCGCTCCAAAAACTGCCTTGGAATTCGCTGATTTCTGACTCATCTGACTCATCCGTTGCCAGGCCAAGTGAAATCTACAGGAATATACAACTCACGTTGTATATCCAATTTCGAGTTTTTCATTTGATTATTAAGTCAGTTGTATTAATACCGATTTACGAAAACTGTTTGTGTAATTGTTGAAGCTAATTTGTTTAACCTTTCAAAAGATTGATTAATTCAATGATATATCAGAAGAATTTATTTATTGTTTATCAAAATATGTATATATGCAAATAGTATACACATCTTTGAGGTATTTCTGTGTATTGATCGAGACCAAGTGCTGACTTGCATGTTACATTTTACATGCTCAATAAGATCTTTTAGTTGTTGGCATTAGATATCATCACTAGCGATTAGCATACTTTAAGAGTCTTTGTACACTTGTTGTCCTACAACAACAGCTACAACAGCAACAGCAGCTGATCATCATCACGAGCGTGGCAGCAACAACAACGATCAACATAATGATGTTGATGTTGATGATGATGATCACGCCATGATCGCCGTCAAGGTTGCCTCGGTGGCATTTGCCTTTGCCTTGGGGCTCTCTGACTCTCGACTGCCCAGATCTGAATGCATTTAACTAACCCACAAGCAAGCACGACGACGACTTTATTGTTGTTGCTGTTGTTGTTATATGCTGCTGTTGCTGTTGCTGCTGCTGCTGTTGCTGCTGCTGCTGTTGTTGCCGTCGTCTTTTGCACACCCAAAGGCTGCCCATTTAGAGAGTGCAAAAATGTCATATGCATCATTAAATCGTTCTGCTTCATATTGTAGTCGACGTTGAGAGCATCGGTCGTTGTCTCCCTCCCTCTTTCCCCTTACTCCCCCACGCCCCATACTTTTTAGTTTTTTATTGCCATCCCAAGCACCTCCCCATCCGTTACGATGCTTCTTATCCCCATCCTGGGCGCATGCAAAAATCAAAATGCGTGCGAGTGAAAATGTATGGCAACGCTGTCCAATAAAATGACTTAACAACTTAGTCCGATGACGCTATGGATGCGGATTTGGTTGTGGATGCTCGGACTCGGACTCGGACTCGGACTCGGACGCGGAACGCGGACAGCTCGGACGAACCGCAAAAGTGAGCAAACAAATGCTCATAAATTGCAGCGGCTGCGGCTGCGGCTGCTGCTAAATTTGCTGTGATTTATTCTAAATAAAAGAAAATTATTCAATTGTTGTCATTGTTTTGGGTCAAGGTGATCGCACAGACACAAACAAATACACAAACAATCGTACAAACACACTCACACACACACACACAGACACACACACACACTCTTGGTTGGGCCATGATCTTTTTGGCATGTTGCTGGCAGCAACATTGTTGCTGGCCGCATTTTGTTAAGCCTTTTTACTTACCAGTGAATCGACTTCGGGATCTGCGGTATAGTAGGGTTTCTGTGATCTTATCTGAAATGAGAGTCGGCGAGCGAGAGAGAAAAAGAGAGAAATACGGTATGAGTACGGTATATATGAGAAAAATGCATTTTCAAATCGTTGCAAATATATGCATAGTCAAGAGTGGCAGCTGCTGTTGCTGTGCTGTTGCTGTGCTGCATCTTGACGAAAGGCACAGCAGGCAGGTGGCAACTGTGCAGCACCGAGTGCGACGCCGTGACTAGGTCGCCAGTGTTTTTGTCTGTGTCGCCGCTGTTTTATGATGCCAGCTCACAGTCCAAGCGATAAGCGCTCTGCAAGCAAAATACTACAGTATAAACCAGGCAACAGCAACAGCAACAACAGCAACAGCAACAACAACAACACACTGGTTACCAAAACACAGCATGGGAAACGCAACATTTGCGTAAAATTTGCTGTTGCTGTTGTTGCTCATCAGAGCAGAGGTGACTCGCTGTGACCATAAAAGTGATTCTCGTTTTTTTTTTTTCGTTATTTATTTTTTTTTTTTTTTCATTTTTATTTTTATTGCAAAAGGCAACAGAAATAAACCACACACTTAGATAAAAATCACAAAAGCAATATGTGGCTAGATAAAATAGAAACACACAACACACACAACAAAAATGGCCACACAGACGATGAGCGACCAAAATGCGACAGAAGGTCAAATAAATGCTGCGAATTATTTGTTGATTTTATTATTGTTGTTGTTGTTGCTGTTGTTGTTGTTGTTGCTGTTGTTGCTGTTGTCGCTTTTGCTATTAGTGAAGATTGCTGTTGCGGTTGGCTCTCACGGAACTACATCTATACAATACCATATGGAACTGAACTCAACCGAACTGAACTGTGAGATCCCAGCTTGGGTCGTTCTTCTATACATATTTAAACACACATAAAAAAAAAGAGCTACACCCGCTGCGAAATTTTATATTGACTCAGATCATGGTGTCGACCTTGTACTTGGCGTTCATTACTGTCTTTTATTTCTAGTTTTTTTTAACTTTTGTATCTTTGGCCCGGCCGGAGACCACCCAATGAATAACTGTGCAAGGCTGCACAGCAAGCGTTCAGCGAACAGGCAATAAATCTGTAGATAGAATCTGCAAAGACCTACAGAGATCATCAATGTTATTGCTTTGAACTGTGACCTCTTTAAATTTGATTTGTCCTTATGGGTAGATTAAGGATCGTTTGAACCTAATAAAAAAACATTTACGACTACCCAAACATAGCTTTTCTTTCGGCTACAGATCTGTGTTTGTGACTGTGAACTCTTTAGGTTTAGTTTGTCAATTTGGATTTAGATTTGAAAGCATTTTCAACTTGCGATATTTGACATCATTTAGCTGGTAATTCTCAGTGCTAGACACGCTAGAGTACTTGACACTCGCCAGTATCGTAACGGCAATTTGAATCAACTGAGCCATAGACGACTAATAATTACTATGTTGCAGACAGCCGACAGGCAGCCAGCCAGCAAGCAAGCAGATCGAATCAATGGCAAGGAGTTCAAGTCCAAGTTGGACATCTGCAGATATACGCTGGCATGTGGGTAGCAGGCATGAGAAAAACGCCCCATTGTGAGGCAAACAACAACAACAGCAACAGCAACAACAGCAACAACTACAGAAACAATGCACAATCATTGAGGAAAGAATGAAAATGTTGCGTGTGGAGCAAAGAAGTTGTGTGTGCCAAAGTTGTGTTGTTTCCAGTTGGCTTTAATGTTGCATTTTCAAATGCTGGTTGGTCGCTGCTGGCGTTGCACACAACAACATATATATATATATATATATATATATGGAGTTGCTTGTGGCAGTGGCCAGTAAAGTTGTCAAACTGGTTTGCATGATAACTCTACGTTTGGATGGCTGACTGGCGACCAGGTCGCGCTTTTGCTTTAGCTGGCTGATATGAAAAGCACGAGGGTCGCCGTTTCTTTCTAGATGTAGGAGGGGGCAGACGACGCTCTGAGACATCAGGCGGCAACTGGCATATTGCACACACGCACTACTCAGATGAATCAAAATGGCTGCCCAATACCAACAAGCGAGTGAGAGAGAGAGCGAGATACACAGCAAGAGAGAGAGAGAGAGAGAGAGAGAGGGAGAGTTGTTGTTTCAGCGGTAATTAGCACAAGCCAAAGCTCAATTCAGTGATAAGCGCTACTGTCCCGCAATGGGCAAAATGAAGTGAAATGTTTAATGTTAAATGTTGTGTTGTCTACGCTGCGGTTTTTAAAAATGTATAAATCACTGGCAACAAGCAAATACACAGCATGAGACAAGTCTATAAATAAGCCAGGACGCCGAAGCCAACACAACGGGCGTGAAAATAACATCAACATCAGCAACAAAAACAACAAAAACAACAACAACAACGACATGAAATGAAAATTGAAATAAAAATAAAAATGAAAATGAAAATTCTAGTGTGTAGGAATATAGAATAGAGAGAACATTTTGTCAACAAGAACAACAACAAGAACAACAACAACAACAACAACAACGCCGCGTGGGCGTCTGCAGCTGACAATTTCATATTTATAGCTCAACGCAAAGAAGCACATTTTCCAATTTTCCAAGCAGTGTCCAATGCGGAAACCCCAAAAGAAAAAATACACACACCACACACACACACAGGCAGAGAAGCGAACTCACTTTAAAAATAAAATATAGAAATTGCGTGTCATGTCATCCAAGTTCTTGACTAGAACACACACACACAGACACACTCACACACACACACACACAATTCTAATCAGTTTCACATGGCCAGCTCATAAATTTTCGCAAGCAACAGCGACAAAATAAAATCACTACTGTTTAGATACTGCTCTTGAAGCGTTTTTATGATGCCCCAATAAATGCAATTATACAATCGCCAGTCACAAGCAAGGGATTGCGGGTTGAAGTTTGGGTTCCGGTGGCGTTTAAAAGATACACATGGAACATGAAACACACAACACACATAGAAACCAACAACAAGCAACAAGCAAGATCGCTAGCTGGCCATAAATTGTATGGCATTTTCAAATCAAATTCATTTCATCAACCTGGCCACGTGCTATCAACAACACAAAGGCCAGCAGCAAACGCACGTCATAAAGTAAAAACCCCATATACATATATATATATATATATATATAAAGATTGTAAATATATGGAATTATGATTCAATCAGAACTGCTTTTAATTTCTCACATGATAAATTTATAGAAATTTGAGCCACTAAAAACCGAAATAAAAATCGAAACGCAATCCACAAAAGAGCTCAAGTCCATAAAAAATAACGCCTCAATGAGGGAGAGAGCAGGGCAAGTATTTGTTTTTGCTGAGTTTTTGTTGTTATTGTTTTTTTTTTTTTTTTTTATGATATGCCAATAGCTAGGAGCTGCTCGTCCGGGTCCGCCCGCGTTTATAGCCCTGGCATTGTGTTGGCCATAAACCAGTGGAAGGCAGAAGGAGGACGACAGCGGCGGGTCCAAGCAACATGTGTGTGTGTATGAGTGAGTGTGTGTGTGAGTGTGTGTATGTGTGTGTGTAGAGTAAAGTCTTGAGCACTTGAGTAATGGCCATAAAGCGCGCCCAACAAACGGCCATAAAGCAATTTATGCAACCGGCCATGTCGACTTTTGGAATCAGCGCGCACAGTAGCCCAAGTGCCGGACAATGTACGATCACACAAGTAGTAACAAAGTAACACCGACCCCCAGCACCCCCTTAACCAACCACCCCACAACAAAAAAAAAACACAAAAAAAAAAACACTTGAGAAACTGCAGTGATAACAGCCTTAGGCAGACAGACGCATCGTCATCGAAAGAAAAAGAAAAAAAACCCTAATGCAACTAAAAATATCTCTTGAGCTGGAACTAGTTCACAACGCACACGTTTCACTAATTAGTTTATCTAAGCTAATGGTTGCTCTCTGTCTGTGTGTGTGTGTGTGTGTATGTGTGTGTATCTGTGTGTTGGATCTGCAGTACGCGTTGCGCTGTGGCGCCTAAATTGCTGCACGTAGTAGCTACACTAATTTTCATTATTACTTTTTGTGTGCTGCGCTGCGCTGCGTGCTGCGACGGCGCCGGGCTTGGGGGCCCCGGTTCCATATATAACCCCAACGGTCGCTGGCATGCGGGTCTGCTATCATAAACAAACGCAAGACAAACGAATTAACCCGGCTACAACAACAACAACAATAACAACAATAATAACAAACATAAGCAGCAAACAACACAACTTTTGCCGAATTGCCGTGCGTGGAGACGCTGTCGAAATGTTATCGAGTTTTTATCTCGAGCTGTGCAATAGAACACAAACTTAAAAAAAAAAAATTAAAAAAATCTAAGCTTCCCAACGGGGCATTCCCCGCTCGCTGTTTGGGTAAACCAACTAAATAAAGCGGTTGGTAATGCAACCAAATGAATCTCAAAGTAAAAACACAATTTTAATCGTATTTATTTTTGATTCTCCTTGATTTGTTATCAAACTATTCAAACTCACATTTTAAATTTAATAGCAGGGTATTTAAGTTGTTTGTCGAAAAATAAGCTTCTTATTGTTGTAACTTGGCACACTTTCAAAAATTAGCTCGCACTCATTTCGATGATTTTATAGAGCTGTCAAAGTTTCAGGCTCAGCTGTTTTTTCTTTCAATCTTGTTAATCTTTTCTTGTTTGCCCATGTCAGATCTGGTGTGCCATGCCGCAAAACATCTGTTTTTCCAAAAATCATTCACTTGAAAATTGCAGTTACCTCAACGCAAGTGTAACCAAAAACGCAAGAAAACCTATCAAATTTCTCACACCTACACCTACACACATGGCGGGACGAACAACAATAACAGTTAAGTACCTAAAAGCTTGCACAATGCCACAACGCCCCCTCTTCACCCCACTCACTCCGTTTGTGTTGCAGTCACCCACAACACGCACACACACACACACACACACACACAAAGCTGAACAATAATTTTGTTGTAATGCAATACCAAAAATTGTATTTGCAT